AAAAATGAAAGCATATGAAGCACCTTGGTTGCCATCTTCCTTTAACAGTCTCTTCTTCACCCAGGGTCATTAGTATTCACAGGACTGTGCTCTCTGTAGTCGTCTCATTTATAGGTATGCCTCTCACAGGACCCTCCAGGAAAGCAGCCTCACACAGGGAACTCTTGGCCTGGCCTAAAAAGCCTTTTGCAATCCACCCTAGCCCCCCCCCCCCATAAGGGGACAGAAAGTCTACAGCCAGCTCTGGGTGCAGGTCTACTCCTCCCAGCCTCCCACCCTATCCAGAGCCTACACATGCTGGGTAAATCCACATAGGTGAGGGGTATTTAGGCTCCATGCCCCAAGTGTATCTGCGCTCCTCCCAATGTGGGTGCTGACCCATGACATCAATGCAGGAGGGCTCTACCTAAAAGGAACTTAGCACCTGATGACACCAGACACTATTTTGATACAGAGCCACCTAGTGGCACAGAAGTTAACTGTGCCTGCCTACATGCAACACATTCTGAGAATTGTAAACACTTTGCAATCAATATTTTTTGTAAAATTAAGATTTACATATAAAATTCCACTTGCAAATGTTAAGTTAAATGCATTTTACCAGAATAGTTTGCAAGTGTTCTTTTTTAAAACAATGAGTAATATCTGTCTGGGCGCAACATACCTAATAATGGGTAAAACCACGAATATTTCTAATTAGTCATGGCTGGTCTCTTTTATTAGCATGAACAATAGAAGGTAACAAAATTAAATCTCCTTAGGAGATGTTTAAAACCTTGAAATTCTGGAAGAAGTGAGCGGGAGGCAATCGGAAAACAGACTCTCCCACTGACAGCTCTCTCCTCTATCTTGTCCTCCGCACTCGTCTGATTATATTAAAGTCTCTGTCAATCGTCTATTTACGTACATTCTGGGAAGACAATGAGCTGTCAGTCATCGGGTAATGAAAGGCAGACGCCAAAATCCAGCCCGGAATTGTCACTTTCTGCTTCTCACACACCTAAAGGAGAGTATTGCACTGTCACCTATTATATCCACCGAATGTTCAATCATATTAACCGAATGGTTAAAGCGAGGCGACAGCGTTACATCGCGGGAATGAATGGATGGAAGCCTTGCCTGTGAATGCATAGGTTTAATTTGGACATAAACTGTTATAAAATTAAACTTTATTTTAAATTTGACTCAGACTTTTCATTAAAATTCTCAGACTCTACTGTAACTTTTTGCTCTCCAGTTTTATTTGGAGTCGGGCAAAGGTTTCTGACTTGAGCATTTTGATCCCTCCAAAAGTACCCTGAGATGTACAAGGAGCGCCTCAGATGTTGCGTTCAGTGTGGCCGATAATGTATCTTCTTCGTCTACATGCCAGAGGCATAACTAAAACCTTCAGGGTTCCAGTGCAAGAAACCATAAATAGCCTCTCTGACCCTGTCCCAGGTCCTCTACATCAATATCAGGGCCCTTGCCACTGGTCCTGGTGCCCTTTGCACTGGTCTTCAAGCCCATTCCTTCCCATCGATCCCAGAGCCCTTTTCTAGTGTCCAGGGGCTTTTCCCACTGATCTCAGGGCCTTTACTTCCACTGAGGAGCCCTTTATTACGGTCCCACAGCAGAACCCTTTCACATGTTCTGTAGCAGGCCCCCTTCCTGCCATCTTAGGGCCACCATGGTGGCGGAATGCGAGGGCCCAGTGATATTTTCGACCCTGATAGTTTTGCCACTGCTATGTGCATTTTATGATCTCCCCTAGAAAGTAAAAACCCAAAAACAATGAGTATTTAGTCACTTTCCTTGACCGACAATTTTTGAGAAAAAAACTATATTTTGGACTTTTTGCTATTAACCTCCCTAGCGGTATGATTATTTCAGATTTTTGGTGCTGAAAGCGGTACCATTATTTTGCAGGGAAATATGTAGTTTTTTTATTGTAGGCCTGTAATTTTTAGGAATAACTCACTGAAATCTGTCCGAACAAGAGTCTAGTAAACATCCCGGGTATGATAAAACTTGAAACACAAAATTATAAATTATAATTTAATAAATAATCATAAAAATAATAATATAATAATAATAAATTTAATTCAATAATATAATCAAACCAAAAACACTGAAATGTGAAATAGAGCGCCATCGCTGAGCAAAGTCGCAAAATCGTTTTCAGTGTCTGATGAGGAATTTCCCCCACGAATCATTATCACTCAATTCTGCAAGTGGTTCTGATTTACTATCGCTGTTCTCTAGCCGGTCTAAAAACCGCTTTTGACCTAAAGGGACGCTTTTTGGACGCCATGGACGTTTCTCAGTTTCCAGGTAGAAAGAACAGTAAAAATGCAGGCAGGGCGCCTGACAAAGCACTCGGGACAAAATGTACCGTATTTGCCAGCGTATAAGACGACTTTTTGACCCTTGAAAATCTTCTCAAAAGGCGGGGGTCGTCTTATACGCCGGTATACGGCATACTGACACTTTTTAGGGGGGCGGCGCGGTGCCGCCGCCGCCCCCCCCTTCCAACGGAAGGGACACTAAGTACAGGGGTGGGCAGGGGCTGTTTCTTACCTGGCTCCGGTCCCACGACGATCCGGTCCAGGAAGCGCGGCTGCTCCTTCAGTTCGGCCACTGGATGTTCGCGCGGCTGCTCGGCTCCGCCTCCTCACCGGTGATTGGCTGCCAGAACTGTAGCTCAGAAAAGGCACACAGGCGGCCAATCACCGGCGAGGGGGCCGAGCCGAGCGGCCCCGTGAAAATCGAGTGCAGGAGCAGCAGGTAAGTGTGCCGTGTAGAGGTGCTGCTGCAACCACATGTGCTGGCTGCAGCAGCACCATACTAGAACAGGGTCAGCAAGTGTAATTGGTGTCAGTGGGAGGAATAGTGCCCCATCATTGATACCAATGATGGAGCACTATTCCTCCTACTGACACCAATGATGGGTCACTATTCCTCCCACTGATACCAATGATGGAGCACTATTCCTCCTACTGACACCAATGATGGGTCACTATTCCTCCCACTGACACCAACGATGGGGCACTATTCCTCCCCCCCCCACTGACACCAACGATGGGGCACTATTCCCCCCCCCCCACTGACACCAATGATGGGGCACTATCCCCCCCCCACTGACACCAATGATGGGGCACTATTCCACCCCCCACTGACACCAATGATGGGGCACTATTCCACCCCCCACTGACACCAATGATGGGACACCATTCCTCCCACTGACACCAATGTTGGGACACTATTCCTCCCACAGACACCAATGATGGGGCACTATTCCCCCCACTGATACTAATGATGGGGCACTATTCCTCCCACTGATGGGGCACTATTCCTCCCACTGATACCAATGATGGGGCACTATTCCTGCCACTAATACCAATGATGGGGCAGCTACTCCCCCCACTGATACCAATGATGGGGCACTATTCCTGCCACTGATACCAATGATGGGGCACTATTCCTCCCACTGATACCAATGATGGGCACCTATTCCCCCCACTGATACGAATGATGGGGCACTATTCCTGCCACTAATACCAATGATGGGGCACTATTACCTCCCACTGACACCGATGATGGGCCACTATTGCTCCCACTGGTGTGCATTGGAAGAGGGGTAGTCTTATACGGCGAGTATAGCCCAAACACTACATTTTAGCAGGAAAAGTAGGGGGTCGTCTTATACGCCGGCAAATACGGTATGTGAAATGGGTTGAAACAGCAATGTTTTACTATGTAAAATTTGTTTGGAAAAAAATGAAGTTTTTTAAATCTTTCAAAGTTCCCGCCGCCGCCGGCTTTCGTACGTCCCGACGTCACAGGGACCGGAACACAGAAGCCGGATGCCGGCATCAGCTGGAGGAGATGGCCGGGGACGCTGCAGGGGATGCATCGCGGGAGCGCAGGACAAGGTAAGCTCTGCAGGGAATCCCTATGCAGCACCGCATGGTAAGCCCGAGTGTAGATCGGGGTTACCGCTTTTGGTACTGACATTTTACCCCGAGCTACACTCGGGAATACCGCCAGGGAGGTTAAACATGTCCAGTAAAAAAATTTTAAAAATCAAATTTCATCATAAATTTAGGCCAAAATGTATTCATGTCTTTGCTAAAAAGTCCCAATACGTGTAAATTAATTGGTTTACATGAAAGTTATAGAGTTTACTGAGGGCGGTATATATATATATATATATATATATATATATATATGCTGTTTTGTTTTTTTTTTACTAGTAATGGTGGTAATCAGTGACTTATAGCGGGACTGCAGCGTGCATTCTGACACTGCGGGGAACGGACTTGGTATCACTGACATCCCCAGTAACACCAATACAGTGATCAGTGCTAAAAAAAAGCACTGACACTGTACTAATGGCACTGGGCAGTAAGGGGTTAACATGAGGGGCTATCAAAGGGTTAACTGTGTGCTGTGTATGTTTTACTAGGGGGGGCGTGGCATTGTGTTTCACTGTAATCACACTGCTTTGAACGGCTGTCCTCGAACCCATTCCTTCCCATCGGTCCCAGGGCCCTTTTCTAGTGTCCAGGGGCTTTTTCCACTGATCCCAGGGCCCTTTACTTCCATTGAGGAGCCCTTTATTACGGTCCCACAGCAGAACCCTTTCACATGTTCTGTAGCAGGCCCCTTTCCTGCCATCTTAGGGCCACCATGGTGGCAGAACGCCAGGGTCCAGTCGCAAATGTGATCTTTTCGACTCTGGTAGTTTTGCCACTGCTACGTGCATTTGCTGATCTCCCCTAGAAAGTAAGAACCCAGAAGCAATGACGATTTGGTCACTTTCTTTGACCGACAATTTTGAGAAAAAAACTATATTTTGGACTTTTTGTTAATAAACATCCAGTAAAAAAAATTTAAGAAATCAAATGTCGTCAAATTTAGGCCAACATGTATTCTGCTCTGTAATGATCCACCTGGCGGTACCTCTGACAGCCCACTGGACAGGATTCCTCAAAGCACAGAGTCTAAGTCCCGGTCTACTTGTTCACCAGGGCCCCTGATGGTGGGGATGGACTTGGTGCAGACCAGGACCAGATCACGACCTCTGAGTACTCCCACCCGTGGCAGAGGGGTCCGCCGGGGATATCTACAAGATGAGAGCCTGATGTGAAGAGGCCAAACAGGCCCGAGCAGGATGGATAGATAGATGGATGGATGGGTGGAATGATAAATTCGTGGTCAGACAGGCTGGGTTGTTACCGTGGGAGCAGCGAGGTACAAGGCGGCAGGCAGAGGAGAGTCCGGTCACATGCAGGGTCAGTACCAGAATATCCGATCTAATAGGGGCAATCTAGAAGAGAGGTCAGGCAAGCCAGGGGTCGGAGCAGGAGAATACAGCAAGTCAGAGGCAATCCGGGTCAGCAACAATCAATCTACACAGGTACAGAAGCAGGTACAGAAGCAGGGGAACACTGGATAGACCTAACATCAACCAGCATCAGCGCAGGGCAGCTTTAAATACCGAGCCCTGCGCCGCCATTGGTGCCCGGCGCGCACCCGCGGCACCCAGTGCGCATGCGCGAGTTCCCCTCTGTCGCGGTCAGCCAGGACCTAGCGCACGTAGCCCAGCGCGAGCCAGCAAACCGCGCATGCGCCGGATCGAACACCACGGAGGACCCTGATATGCTCCATGACTTTGCTAAAAAAAAATCCCAATACGTGTAAATTAATTGGTTTACGTGAAAGTTATAGCGTTTACAAATGGCGGTATATATATAAATATATATATATACCAGAGACACAGTACCTGACTTTCCTGTCTGGCAGAAGCAGCTGGATCAAAAGAGGGGCAGAGCAGAATTACAATTGTTCTATTTCAAATGCTGCTTTATGCATTAAACCCAGTCTGTCTAGATTTTATGTTGACTTGCTAAATTGGCACCATCCACAGGCAGCTTAACTCTTCATGAAACACAGATGTTGAATCCAACATAGTTTTACTTCAACCAGTTGCTGTACAAAGGATGTTCTTCCAGTCTTTTGAAGTGTACGAAGAAAAACAACTTTTCTAAGCCCTGTCTCTGCAAAGTACTAGCACTGACTGAGGGAACATGGAAGATGTGGGGAAGGTCTGGCTAGGACTGAACTAGCTAGACCAGTGTTTGCCAATTTATACACTAAAGGGGGCCTCAAATACAGCCCCCGACATCACCAAAGGGTCATATGTAATGTTCGATATATGCAATGCTTAAAGCGATACTAAAGGCTTACATTTTTTTTTCAAAAAATAACAAACATGTCTATACTTACCTGCTGTGTGTACTGGTTTTTCACAGAGCAGCCCTGATCCTCCTCTTCTCGGGTCCCCCTGCCGGCACACCTGGCCCCTCCCTTCTGTTGGGTGCCCCAACAGCAATCGGTTTGGCCCCACCCCCTCTCTCTCTCATTGGTTCACTGGCTTATGATTGGCTCCTGCTTTTGTCTCAACCAATGAGGAGAGGGAGTCCCGGGATAGCGAGACTCCAGTGTACATCACTGGATTGAAAGGGGGCTTAGGTGAGTATTAGGGGGGGGGGGCTGCTGCACACAGGTTTTTTTGTGTACCTTCATGCATAGAATGCAGGAAGGTAAAAAACCTTGAGCCTTTACAACCACTTTCTCTGTCAGAAACTGCAGACCTAATAGAAAAAAAGAGGTCAGAGAGTGTGGGCATGCTACATGTTTGGCTGGGGATATACTGCAGAAATCAATACAAAACTGGGAATATGTTACATGAGGCTAGTAGAGATTGATGCTATGACCCTAATCAATGTTCTACAGGCTGCGAGGTTCGAGGGCCACACATCATATACCAAAATGCTGCATGCAGCCCTTGGGCTGCAAGTTGGCCACCAAGGAACTAGAACTAAACAGGAGGGGAGGACAGAGGAAGATACTAATATCACATTAGTAAACAAGTTGTAATTGCATAAAACAGCCACTAGACGTCAGTATACTACAGAAAAATAATAACCTCATGCAGCTCAATACAAGACATAAAAAAGTGCATAAAAATGGGGCAGAACAATTCTTTCAGCAGGTAAAACTTTTCACATGTATGTGTTACAGTTATGCATTTATCTCTTCGCCGCGCGTTCAGCTTAACACGGCAGTCGAGCGAATTAAACGGCTCTTTAAAATGAAATATATAAATATGTAAATAAATAAAGTTCACATCTATTCATAATTTATGTCTGAGAAGATTTATTTGTAAAGCAGGCACATTTTCTTAACCAATACCAACATATATTATTAATGGTCTCCTGCGAGCACATCGGTATCCTGGGCACAGCAGGTACTCAGAGTTCAGAGGAGACGTACGGAAACAAAACTCATTTCATAAACTTCCAGTCCAATGATGGAAACGGCATAGTAACCAAATATCGCATTTTATTCTAAAATGTAAAAAAAATACGTGAGTTCTAAGAAATGATAGAAATATAGGCAGCCATTGTGCCAAAGGAGCTGGTCTGGAGCGAAGTACGAGAGCTGCCAGTGTTCAAGTGGACCTATCATCAGATATCTTCAAATACATGGCTATATACTTGGGAATAATATTTTTAAAATATATTTCAAATATATTCTTCTTCCATATGGGGTATATGGAAGAAAAATATATTTGAAATATATTTTAAAAATATTATTCCCAAATCTATTGCCATATATTTGAAATGCTACAATTTTGGCCATATTCTATATATTACAATAAATAAATATATACATATATATATATACGGTATATATATATATATATATCTCAAAATAAAGCAAGGTGCAGCGCTAAAAATGTTATGTTTTGGACATATAGACATCTTTATGCAAAAATACAATAGAATAAAACAGCATAATAAAACAATATTAAGGTGCAAGTAAAAGTGTCACCTAATGGTGACTATAGGTGATTGGACACTAGACCAAAATACAGTCTATAGCGTGAGCAGAAAAGATCCCAAATGATCTTCAAAAAATCCAATGGCTGGATCCGTGGATGAGGTGATAGATATGTAAGGATTGCGCACTCACCAGATACGCAATCTCAATGCGCATTTAAAGCAGATAATCTCAGGACATTAGCTTACCCCCTATGACTACGTGCCCTCGCACGAAACGTGTCAGAGAGCGGCTACAGCGGGGTGACGTCACGCCGACCGGCGCCACGAGGGCGGCCATTTGCATATGTATGGTGAGGGGCATTTGACCAGATCTGACCAGACCCACATAAGGATCCTTGATGTCCTGAGATTATCTGCTTTAAATGCGCATTGAGATTGCGTATCTGGTGAGTGCGCAATCCTTATATATCTATCACCTCATCCACGGATCCAGCCATTGGATTTTTTGAAGATCATTTGGGATCTTTTCTGCTCACGCTATAGACTGTATTTTGGTCTAGTGTCCAATCACCTATAGTCACCATTAGGTGACACTTTTACTTGCACCTTAATATTGTTTTATTATGCTGTTTTATTCTATTGTATTTTTGCATAAAGATGTCTATATGTCCAAAACATAACATTTTAGCGCTGCACCTTGCTTTATTTTGATTACTCTGGAGGTTTATATGGTGCCTTTTTGGTGTTCAGCTGCTATTTTCTCCTTCTACTTATTTATCATTTTACCTTAAGCGCTCACTTACCCTGCGATTTACTGTTCTGATATATATATATATACACTGTATGTTCAAATGCCTTTTTATTACAAAATATATGAAAAATATTTTTAAAAATACATTTCAAATATTCTGTATGTCTTTAAAAATACAAATCTACATTTTTGGAATGCATTTACAAACATATGTAAAAATATATGTTAAAATTACTTTTTTATATGTAAAAAAAATCTGAAGAATATATTTAAAATATATATATATATTTAAAAATATTTTTCATATATTTTGTAATAAAAATGCATTTCAACCAGGGGCAGACTGACCATTTGAAATCTCGGGCCCCATGATCCCCTATTGCCTGGGGGCCCCATGAGTTGTCAGTCCGCCCCTGATTTCAATGTGTATATATATATATATATATATTTTTTTTTTTTTTTTTTTTTAAATATATTCTTCACATTTTTTTTACATATAAAAAAGTCATTTTAACATATATTTTTACATATATTTGTAAATGCATTCCAAAATCAGAGATTTGTATTTTTAAAGACATACAGTATATTTGAAATTCATTTTTAAAAATATGTTTCATATATTTTGTAATAAAAACACATTTCAACATGCAGTATATATATATATTTTATTGAAATATATTTTTAAATATACTGAATATGGCCAAAATTGTAGCATTTCAAATATATGGCCAGGCCTATATTTGGGAATAATATTTTTAAAATATATTTCAAAAATATTTTTCTTCCATGTGGGACTCAAGTGAAATCCATGTTTGCAACGTTATATCTCAATGTAACTCCTCCAGGTGTTTATTACCTCTCACAGACATCACATTACTGCCTCAGATAACGACTCCATCTGCTTTTTTCTCTGTTCAGGTATCATCCACATGGACTGGGATGACGGCTCAGAGATGGCACAATCATGTAAATTCCAGGTCCTGTGCAGTTCTTGGATGTGTTCACAAATGTCTGACACAGATCAGCCCCTGCTGGAGCTCCTTGCCTTGCTACAAAGTTATCAGTGTTGAAGTCTGCTCACTGGAGGAGACTGAGAGAATGCTTCTTCCTGCCTGCAGCAAAGCGATGACATCATCTTAGCCTAGGAAACGTCATCTGACTGCTTAAAAACTGCTTTTTAATGACAAAAGGGAGAGCTTAAAAAAAATTACGGTTGCTCTATATTGCAACAAGTCAGGAATGTAGTGTTAATGAGAGGTCCACTTTACTCCTTCTCCTTTCTGTCCAAAAATAAAACAATTCATTGTAAACTTTATTATATATATATATATATATATATATATATATATATATATAAAGTATAAATATATATATATATATATATAAAGTATAAAATAAATATATAAAAAAAGTATAAATAAGTATAAATAAGTATATATATATGAAAAAAAAAAAAAAAAAAAAAAATATATATATATATATATATATATATTTTTTTTTTATATATATATATATTTTATTTATACTTTACTTTGTTTACTCCACTTGACCTCCAGAGGATTTACCCCCCTTCCTGACCAGGCCATTTTTTTTTGCGTTACGGAATTACGTTACTTTAGCTGACAATTGCGCGGTCATGCAGCTCTGCACCCAAATGAAACATCCTTTTTTCCCATGAATTGAGCTTTCTTTCGGTGTTATTTGATTACCTGTGTGTTTTTTCATTTTTTGTGCTATAAAACGAAAAAAACCAACAATTTTCAGAAAAAAACAATATTTTGGACTTTTTGCTATAAAACATGTCCAGTAAAAAAATGTAAAAATCAAATTCCATCATAAA